GTTGTCACCCAGCTTGGGCACGCGATGGCGTTGCCCTGCCGGATTTCTAAATAATTTGGAGCGGAGAGGTGCGGGAGTGCCGGCTGGCCTGCTCACATCTCCAACGTCACCGGGAGGTTTTCCCGCTGCCCGGTCATCCCTGGGCAGTGCCGGTGTCCACGTACAGCACACCCCAGGTCCCCAGCACCCGTCCCCCTGCCCCAAGCATCCCCCGGGTGCAAGGACTGGGTGGATTCACCCCAAACCCTTCTTTGAGTTTTTCCTTTTTAGCTTTTCTGCACGACTCCATGGGCATGGTTGGCGGTGGGGACGGCAAGCTGGCCGGGCACCGCGCATCCCTTCACCCTTCGCTGCGACGGGGAAAGGGAGGAAAGAAGGAAGGAAAGAAGAAAAAGGAAAGCAAAAAGCACCCAGCTGGGGTCACTTGGTGGCCGCCTCCTTGCCGCGTGTGCCGCAGCTTGCCACGAAGTCTCCGGGGCCGAGGGTGGGCGGCGGATACATCCGCACGGAGCCGGTGCCGCGCGGGCACGGGGCAACACGGGGACAAAGCCTTCATGTTTCTGCTCCCCCCCGATCCCCGCACCCACACCAGGGATTTTGGGGGTCTCCAGGGTTCTGCTGAAGCAGCCTCAGCTGCCGTTTTCCACAAATCCCTACCCGAGCCCTGTCCCTTGTAATTGTTCCTTATTCCTCGCTGGCATTTGGGACGGCGCCCAGCGGCGCATCGGCTCCGGAACGGAGCGGTACCAATAGTGACAAATTGGGAAGCCAACCTTTAGCCAGCGGCCAAGCACGTGGGGGTTGTGCAACCCCAGCCCCGAGCCCCCCCCTGCCCTCCCCATGCCCCCACGGGATTCGCCCCCAGCCATCCAAAGCGGCCCCTTGGGGGAAAGCAGAAAAACAGAATCAAACGGGAAACGCCACGCAACCGAAAAACAGGACCCTGAGCGAGGAGCCCGCCCGGGGATTTCAAACCCCCAAAGTGACCGCAGGGACCTGTGCCACCCTCCGTCCGCATTTCCCATCTGGGAACGCCGCTTCCTCCAGGGCTCGTGCACCGAGAGCCACCCGGCATCGCCTGAACCGCTCCGGAGATGTGGCCGGGGGGGACCCGCGTTGGTCAGCCCCATATCGGTCAGCCCCATATCGGTCAGCCCCATATCCCCGGGGCACAGCACCTCTCCTGCCCTGCCCATGGGTTTGGGTGTAGGGCATGCGCCGGGTTGGGATTTCGGGGTGGGATTTCGGGGTGGGATTTCGGGGTGGGATTTCGGGGTGGGATTTCGGGTGCTTCGCGCGTTTTGGGGAGCGGCGGCGCCTGGGATGCAGGGGGGATGCTGTAGGGGGGCCGGGCAGCTCTCCCCTAATGCTCGCTCAATTTGCTTAATCAGTTTTCTAAACGCCAAAGCAGGGCCAGACAATGTCAGCCCATTAAGGGCTTTAGGAAGTCGCAGGGAGCCCTTTTCAATGAGAAAGGCGGCGCAGCCCGGGGTCAGGTTTCGGGGCCGAGCATGCCAGCGGGCGTCCCCGCAACGTGCCCCAAAGTCGCCTAAGGCCCCAAACTCACCCAAAGCCCCGAACACAACCAAAGCCCCAAAACTCACCCAAACCCCCAAATCGTAAACCAAAACCCCAAAACTTGACCAAACCCCAAAACATGGCCAACACTCAAAACTTGACCTGAACCCAAAACCCAACCAAACACCCAAAACTCGATCAGACCGCAAAAGTCTCCCAAACCCCCAAACTCGACCAAAACTCAAAACTTGACCAAACACCAAAAACTTGACCAAACACCCAAAAACTTGACCAACCACCCAAAACTCCCCCAAAACTCCCCCAAATGCCCCAAACTTGCCATGAGAGCGGCGGCGCAGCCCTCCTGGAAGGGGCCAAGCACCCCAAAGGGACCGAGCCCCATTTCTTTCTCTTTTTTTGCCCCCCCGAGCCCCCCCGCCCTCCTTGACGCAAACGAGCCGGGGCACGAGTCCACGGCCCTTGACCGCAGAGGGGCCAGGGCTCCAGCATCGCGTCCGCACGGCCCCAAATTGGCCCCCCCGGCACTGGGGGTCGTGGGGGTGGAAGGGGGGGCACTTACGGTGCGGGCGCCGCCGGGGGACAGGGCTCCGTTGGAGAGGTAGGGGCTGCCCAGCTCGGGGAGCATCAGGAAGGGGTAGCCGGGGTAGGGGGGGCCCTTAAAAAACCCCCATCTTGCTGTCGTCTCACCACTGGGGAGAAAAGGAGGGGGGGGTCAGGAGGTGGGGGGGGGGGGCTTGGGGTTGGTCCCACGGGGGTTCAAGGGGGTCAGCTCCCCACAGAAAGGGGGTCTGGGGGGGTCTGTGGAGGGGATCCCAGTCTTATAGGGGGGTCCCACTCCCATGGGGGGGTCCCACACTTATGGGGGGGGTCCCAGTCCCTGAGGTGGGGGTCAGTCCCATGGAGGGGGCAGTCCCATTGGGGGGTCCCAGTCCCATGGGGGGGTCCCAGACTCCCTTCGGGGGGTCCTAGGCTGGTTCTGCCCAGGGGGTCCCGGATGCCTTGGGGGGGTCCGGGACCGGGGGGGGGGGGGGGCGCCATCCGGAGGGCTGGGGGGGGGGGGCGGGGCTGGATCCTGCGGGGGGGGCGGCGCCGCTCTGCTCCGGAAAGGGCTGGGGGGGGGGGGGGCGCGCTCCCGATTCCTCCGGTGGATTTTTTTTTTTTTGGGGGGGGGGTGTCCGGGGCCGGTCCCTCTGCACGGGACGGCCCGGGGGCTGCTTTTTTTTTACGGAGGGGGGGGGGGGGGGGGGGCGGGACCGGGGGCCGGGCGGGACCGGTTCCTGGACGGGAGGGGGGGGGCCTGAGAAAGGGGGGGGGGGGGGGGGCGCAACCGGGGGGAAGGGGCGGAGGGGGGGGGGAGAGAGCGGGGAGGGGGGAACAAAGAAGTCGCGAAGAAGCTGCCGGGGGGGGGGGCACCGCTACCTTCGGCGAGGGCGTCCCGCGGCTTCTGGAAACTTTCCCGGGGCTGGGGGGCCGCTCCGCCTGCGGGGGAGCGGGGGGGGCGCGGTGAGGGGCGCGGAACGGGCCGGGGCCTCGAGACCTCCCGTCGGTGCCCGGCCTCACCTCGGCGTCCGAGCCGGTCCCGGAGCCCCCCCGGCTCTCGGTCTCGTTGACCAGCGACGATTTCAGCTCGTCCAGGTCCCCGTGGGCCGAGCCGCGCCCCGCGCCCTTGTCCTGCTCCTCGCCCTCGTCCTGGAAAGCGATCAACTCGTCGGGGGCCCCCAGGTCGTCCCCCCCCGCCGGCTCCAGCTGCGGCATCGCTGCCCCCGCTTGCTGCCCCCGGTGCCGCTCCCGCTCCCGGTGCCGCTCCCGGTGCCGCCGCCGCCGCCGCCCGGGAGGGGTCGGGAATGCGCGGGGCGGCGGGCGGGGAGGAGCCGGGGCTGCAAACCGACACCGCGGGGCAGGGCACGGAGCTCGCACCGCCCCGAGCCCCCGACACAACGCCCCCCCCACCCCACCCACAGCCCCCCCCCGGCCTCGGTGCGCCCCGACCCCGACGGCTCCGGCTCGGCTCCGTGCCCCCCCCGCCCGGCCCCGGCTCTCCCGGTGTAGCCGGGGGGGCTCCGGGGTGGCTGGGACCCCCCCCCCTCCCCGGTTCTGTGCAGGGTGACCCCATCCCTACACGGCCCCCCCCCCCCCCAGTCCCAGTCTGGGGGTTCTGTCCCCTTTTGGGACCCCCCCCCCATCCCGTCCAGGGTGCCCCCATCCCATCGGGGGTTCTCTGGCTCCTTTCGGGACCCCCCGTCCCGTCCAGGGTGCCCCGAATCATCTGAGCCCCCCCATCCCATCCAGCCCCCGCCCCCCCCATCCCATTTAGGGGACTGCATCCCCTTTTGGACCCCCATCCCAGCCGGGGTTCTCCATCTCTTTCGGGACCCCCATCCCGTCCAGGGTCCCCCCCCATCCCAGCTCCACTTTATCTGCCCCCCCCATCCCATCCAGGGCCCCCAATCTCATCCAGGGTCCCCCCCCATCCCATTTGGGGTTCTCCATCCCCTTTTGGGACCCCCATCACATCTGGGGTTCCCATCTCATCTGGGCCCCCCCATCCTGTCCAGCCCCCCCCCCCCCCCCATCCCATCTGGGGTTCTCCATCTCCTTTAGGGCCCCCCCATCCCACCTGGGCACCCCCTCCCTGCCCCATCCCACTGGGGTGTCCCTGTCCCCCCACCCAGGATGCCCCCATCCCAACGAGGTGACCCCATCCCACTGCTGTGTCCCACCCTACCCAAGTGTCCCCATCCCACCAGGGCATCCCTGTCCCCCCAGGGTGTCCCCATGGCATTGGGGTGCTCAGGGGGGGGTTCCCCATCCCACCCCACCCCGGGCAGGATCGGGGTCCCCATGGAGCTCCAGGACCACCCTGCAGGGGAGGACCCCCCATCCCTCGGGGCACACCGCTGGGACGGGCCACCCCATTTGGCCAAACCGACCCCATTTTGGGGCACGAAAGCCGCCCGCCCTGCCCCCAGCCGCCCCCCCCCCGGCTTCCACACCACAAAGATCCCTCAGTGGCTTCCCCCGAAATATGGCACGGAAAGGCTGAAAAGCCCTTTGTGCCCCCGAACCGGCGGTGACCCCGAGCCCCCTCGCAGGGAGCAGCAGCTGCCGGTGTCGGGGTGGCCCCCCCCCCGCGTAGCCCCCCAGAGGTTTGATTGCCCCTGCTTTTAATTAACAACTCGTTAGGGCTGGAAGCCCCCCCGGGATGTGCCCGAACCCCACAGATCTGTAGGGTTTGGGGGCAGCTCCCCATACGCAGGACCATTGAGGAGGGGGATTTAGCCCCCACCAGGTTTTGGGGTGGGGGGTCGTCGGGGATGCCCCCCCGTGTCCCCCCCCCGTGGTGCCAGCAGCCTGGGGAGGAGGCACCCATGGGTGCTCGCACCCACGGCCATCCGGCCACCCCGGCACCCGCCATGCAGGGGGGCAGGGGGGAGAGGGGGGAGGTGGGGTGGGGGGTCCGGGGGTCCCGGGTGTCCCAGGGGTCCCATAGTGGCAGGGGGGGCTCAGGGTGTCCAAGGGGGCTTGGGGCACCCAGGGGTCCTGGGGCACCCAGGGGTCCAGGGGTGTCCAGGGGGTCCGGGGCACCCAGGGGCCCACGGGGACTGGGGGTCCTGGGGTGTGGGGTCCTGGGGGGTCCTGGGGGGTCCTGGGGGGTCCCAGGGGTCCGTGGTTGATGGGGGTCTCGTGGGTCCCAGTCCCCAAGGGGTCCTGGGCATCCATGGGGTCTGGGGGGGTCCCAGGGGTTCTGGGGGGTCCTGGGGGGTCTGGGGTGTCCCAGGGGTCCTGGGGTTCTGGGGGGTCCCAGGGGTCCCCACGGTGTCTGGAGGGCCTGGGGGGGTCCCAGGGGTCTGTGGCAGAGGGGGGGTCCCAGGGGTCCCAGGGGGTGCGGGTGCCTTGGGGGTCCACTGTCCCCAGGGGTCCCCGGGGGTCCCCAGCCCCACAGTACCGGGGGGGGCACCCACAGCCCCCCCCCCCCCCCCAGAGGCCCCCTCCCTCTGCGCAGCCCCAAAACAGCCGGGGGTGGGGGGGGCCAGGATGGGGGGGGCGGAACTGTGGGGGAAAAAATAAACCCAAAATGCCCCCAAAACGCCCCAAAACGGGACGGGACGGGAGGGGGGGGGGGGTGGGGCGGGGGGCGGGGCGGAGCGATAAAAGGGGGCGGGGCTTGGGTGAGCGAAGGGGCGGGGCTAGAGGCAGAGGGGCGGGGCTATGCGCGGAGGGGGCGTGGCCATACCAAAAGGGGGCGTGGCTACACATAGGGGGCGTGGCCTTCTCAGCGAAGGGCGGGGCGGGGCGGGGCCAATCAGGGGGCGGGGCGATGGGGGGAGGGGGCGGGGCTAGGTGGCCCAGGGGGGCGGGGCGAGGGGCGGGGCTACGGAAAGGGGGGGCGTGGCCTCGTCGGGGCGGGGCGGGGGGGCCGGGAGCTGCCATGGCGCTGAACCTCAGCAAGAACGGGCGGGCGCTGCAGGAGGCCTACGGCAGGGTGGTGGCGGCGGGGAGCAGCACCGACTGGTGGGGGGGGGGGCCCGAGGCCGGGATTGGGGGGGGGCACTGGGATTAAGGGGGGGGTGGGGGGAGGGGAGGGGGTGGGGGGAAATGGGGGAAATGGGGGGGAGGGGGGAAATGGGGGGAGGGGAGGGGAAGTGAAAGTGAAAGGGGGGGGGGGCAATTGGGGGGTGGGGGGGTTGGGGGGGCACGGGGGGGTGGGAGGGGGGGGGGGGGATGAGGGGGGGGGGAGGGGGGTGGGGAGGAGAGGGGAGGGGGGAGGGAGGGAGGGGGGGGGGAGGGGGGGGGGTTGGGGGTGTGGGGGTGGGGTGGGGGGGGGAGGGTACCATGGGGGGGTTTTGGGGGGGTGGGGGGGGTGCAGGGGGTTAGGGCTGGGGGGTGCACACGGGGGGGGACTCATAGGTGAGGGCACAGGGGGGCTGTGGGGTGGGGGTCCGGGGGGTAGGGGTGGGGGTGCACAGAGGTTGGGGTGGGGGGGCCGTGGGTTCCCCCCCCCCTCCACCCCCCCCGGGGTGTCCCGCAGGGCCCTGTTCACCTACGAAGGCAACAGCAACGACCTGCGCGTGGCCGGCTGCGGGGGTGAGCGCGGGCACGGCCCCCCCCGGGGATAGGGACGTGGGCACCCAGCTCTGCCCCCTGACCCCCGTCCCCGTCCCCCCCCTTGGCCCTGGCTGTGGTTCCCAGGCTGGGTCCTGCCGGTGCCGCCCGTCCCTGCCGGGCCCCTTCCTTCCTGCTCCGCCTGCGCCTCGCTGGGGGGAACAAGGAGCTGGGGGGGGGCAGGATTTAGGGCTGGGGGCTTTTGGGTGCGGGTCTGAGGTTCCCACGTCCCCTCCCTCGGAGCATCGGGTGCCTCTTGTTGGCCATCAATATTTTATCGTGGTGAGGAAGGAGAGCTCCGGGCTGAGCAGGATGCTGCCGGCGAGCACCAGCCCGCTTCCTGCTCTGCTGGGCTTAAAGGAGGAGAGATCCTCGCTGCTGGGCTTGGTTTTGGGGATGAAAGCGGGGTTTTTGGGGGATTCCCAATTAGAGGGGGGGCTGCGGGGCTGGGCAGGAGGTGCCGATGTCTGTGGGCGCACCCCAGCCCCGCTCCTGTCCTGGCACAGATGGGGGCCTGGAGGAGATGGTGGAGGAGCTCAACAGCGGGAAGGTGATGTACGCCTTCTGCAGGGTGAAGGACCCCAACTCCGGCCTGCCAAATACGTCCTCGTCAACTGGGTGAGCGGGGACGGGGACAGGGGGACACCTCGGGGACCTCCCCTGGTGCCAAAAAACGCCTGGTGGCCAAAAAACCCACCGGGTGCCCCGCAGCCAGGCAGCACCGAGGTCCCCAAATGGGGACGGTTTTGCAGCCTAGACCCAAGGTGCTGCTGCTGGAGAGACCCCCGTGGGCTGGGACCCCCCCATGGGCTGGGACCCCCCCGGTAAGCGGGTGCCGATGGTTTCCCTTGCAGACGGGTGAAGGCGTCAACGATGTGCGGAAAGGAGCCTGCGCCAACCACGTCAGCACCGTCGCCGGCTTCCTGAAGGTGCCCCCCAACCCTTCTCCTGCCACGGGGTGGACCCCGAGGGTGCCACCTCGGGGCCACCCCCCTGAGCCGGGGCTGTTCCCGCGCAGGGCGCGCACGTCACCATCAACGCCCGTGCCGAGGAGGACGTGGAGCCCGAGCTCATCATGGAGAAGGTGGCCAAAGCCTCGGGGGCCAACTACAGCTTCCACAAGGAGAGCGGCCGCTTCCAGGACGCCGGACCCCAGGCTCCCGTGGTGAGTTGGTGTTAGGAGATGCCCAAAATCAGCTTAGCGACGTCCTGCAGTGCTGTGATGTGCCGGGCACGGGGCTGGACGGAGCTCGGGGTGTTATTTTTTGGGGGGAGCTCAGGGGTTTTGCTCAGCCCCACCACGCTCTGCCGCCCTGCAGGGCTCCGTCTACCAGAAGACGAACGCGATGTCCGAAATCAAGAGGGTGAATAAGGATAACTTCTGGGCCAAAGCCGAGGTGAGTGCCGTGCTCTCTGCTCACCAAAGCCAAGCTCCGGGGCTGGGGGCTGTGGAGCCGACCCGAGCGCGTGTCCCGGCAGAAAGACGAGGAGAACCGGCGGCTGGAGGAGAAGAGGCGGGCGGAGGAGGAGCGGCAGCGGCTGGAGCGCGAGCGGCGCGAGCGGGAGCTGCAGGAGGCGGCGGGGAGGGAGCAGAGATACAAAGCCCGCTCCAACGAAATCGAGGCCCAGAAGTGAGTCCCTGGGGGCTGGGACATGTCCCCAGCTCGCGCTCCCGTGACGCAGCGGGAGGTGCAGGGGGGACCCTCCGGGGCCGTGTGTCCTGTGTCCGTGTGTCCGTGTGTCTGCCCTCCCCTGGGGCTGGGGAGGCTCCGAGCATCGCTCCCCGCGGGCAGAGCCTTCCCCAGCTCCCTGGGGCAGCTCCTGCCGTGCTGTCCCCGTCCCCACGTGGCCGCGGCACTAAGCACCGCTGTCCTTTTGTCACCCTGTGTCACCGCAGGAGGCTGCAGCAGGAGGCGGAGAGGAGGGACAGGGAGCAGCAGCAGCGGGTGAGCAGCAGCGCTGGGCTCTCTGAGGGTCTCGGGGTGCCAAATCCAGGGGGTGCCCCCCCCCGTTTGCCCGCTGCACCCCCCCTTGTCCCCATTTCTGTGGTCCCAGGGGGGTGGCCCCGTGTCACCGACCCCTCTTGTGCTACAGAAGGAGCAGGCGGAGGAGGAAGAGGCCGAGCAGCGGAGAGGCTTCAGGAGGAGCGAGTCGGTGGAGAAAGCCCAGGTGCGCATTGCTGGGGGGGGAACCGCGCTGGGGGGCTGCTCCCGGCCCCTCTGCCCCTTCCAGCCCCCCCCCAGACCCTGCTTAACCCCTGGTTCCCGTGCAGGAGGCAGCGTCGCTGATCGCACAGAGGGCAGTGAACCCCCGGGACATCTTCAAGCAGAAGGAGAGGTCGGCACCCGGGGACACGGCAGCTGCTGCCCAGCCAGGTGGGCACGGGGGGGCTCCTGAGGCAGGGGGGGAAGCGTTAACACCCGAGACTGCCGTATCCACACCCCGCTGTACCTGGGGAGCTTTAGATTTCTTCTTTTTTGTAAATGAGACATACTAATGCTGGAAAGGAACCCGGCCTGGCTGCCTGCCGTCCCGCCCGGCTGCTCGCGCACAGCCGACGAGCCCGAGCTGCTCCGCGGGGCAGGAGCCAGGAAGTTGAGAAAACCCAAGCTGAGGCTGCAGCCGAGGAAGCTGCTGCAAACACGTGATGTGCCCAGGCCAACATCCCCCCCCCCAGCAGCCCAGCCCCCAGAAAACGACTCGAATTAACCCACAGTAACTCCTGTTCCCCGGTTTTGCGGAAGGAGCGCGAGCGCACCTCGGTGGCGCGGCCCCGTGCTTGTTTGCGCTTGGAGGCACCGATGGGCGAGATAAGAGCAGCAGGAAAATCCCGGGGAGCTGGCGCCACCGGCCTCCGAGCTGCTCTGCTTCCCCAGCACCACGTCAGTGCTGGTTTCGTGTTTGCTCGGCTGCGGCGCTGCTGTAACCAGTCGACAAACTTGTTTTTTGCAAGAGGGACCGGAGCTGGAAAATCCTGCTGGGGAGGCGAGCCCGGTGGCGAGCAGGCGGTGAGCGAGGGGTACCCGAGCCCCCTCCTTGAGCACCTCCGTCTCCTTTTGCAGGCAAATTGCGCAGCCCCTTCCTGCAGAGGGAGGCGAACGCGGTGCCCAGCCCCGGCCCCCCGGCGCGGGAGACGCCGCCAGCATCACCGGTGCCCGCTGCAGGTGCGTGCCCTCGGTGCCAGGCCGAGCAAAGCTTCGCACCGCGCCTCTCCAAAGTGTCCCCGGAGCTGGCAGCGCGTTCTGCTCGGTTTCTGCCTTGTCCCCATCTCCCTGCTCCTTGGCAGAGAGCAGGCAGGGTTTGGCTTTGGCTCGAGGTCTGCGGGTGATGCTGAAGCCAAGCGGGAGGATGGGGAGCAGAGGGGACAGAGCCGGGCTCCTTCCAGCCGTGCCCAGTGCCAGGCCCAGCGGTGCTGGGCACAAACTGGAGCCCAGGAGGCTCCCCCTGAGCAGCACAAAGCCCAACCATGCCGGGTGGGTGCCAGAACCCTGGCACAGGTCCCCAGAGAGGTTCCAGAGCCTCTTCCTGGGGTGTTTGCACCCTGCTGGACGTGGTGCAGGGCTCTGGGTGGCCCTGCTGGAGCCGGGTGGCACCAGAGGGGCCCGGAGGTGCCCCCAGCCCCCCCCACCCCACGGCTCTGTGACCTCTCCTGGCTGACTGCTGGCGTTCAGCCTCCAGCCAGGGCTCCACCATCCAGGCTGAGCCTTTCCCCGAGGCCGCTGCGGTCACCACTAGATGCTGCTCTTGGCCAAGGTCTCGGCGCCGGCCCCTTCCCCGCTGCTCGCCGCAAGCAGCAGAGCCTGGCTATTTGCGTCTCTGGTATTTTAGGAAATGATGAATCTCGGGCAAGCTCACTCGGTTCCCCATCGGAAATTCCGCGTCTCATCCTTTTTAGGGCCCCGCAGCCCCACGCTTTTCCCCATCGCAGGGTTTGTGCTTGCTCAGCCCGCTCCTTGCAGCATGGGGACATCGGGGACAGCGGCAGGGGGGGAGCAGGAGGCGGGTTGGTGACACACGTTCCCCTTGCAGGGTACAACTCGAGCGCCCCGGAGCCCCCCGAGGACGAGGCCAATGTGTACGAGGAGCCGCCGGACGCCTCGGCCATCTACGAGGAGCCCCCTCAGGTTGGGTGGCACGGGCACGATGCCCCCCGAGCGTCCCCTTGGGTCCGAGCCCCGCTGATCCCCTCGGGGCTTTTTCTCCCCCAAACCTGCCCTTCTCTCCCTCCCGAAGGACCACGCTGATGGGGCCAAGTACGACTACTCGGCCGAGTACCAGCAGACACCGGACCTGGCGGGGAAGGGGCTGTGTGCCCGGGCGCTCTACGACTACCAAGCGGGTACGGGCTGGGGGGGCTCCTCTGAAACGGGGGGCGCGGGGCCCAGAGCTGGGCAGGGCATTGCCCATCCCCTGCAGTGAAGGGGGACGGTGCCCTCCCTGCCTCCGAAAATCTGTTTCTCGCTGTCCTCCTGGCTTCCCGACAGCCCCGGCCGTGCCAGCAGCTGGGTCGGTCCCCAGCACCAAGGGGGGGACACCCGAGGCAGGTGGGGGGCTGGGGGCAGCCCCAGGGCTCGGGGCTGTTCCTCACTCCCCTCCCCTCCGTCTCCCTGCAGCTGACGACACTGAGATCTCGTTTGACCCTGAGAACATCATCACCAACATCGAGATGATCGACGAGGGCTGGTGGCGGGGCTACGGCCCCGACGGCCACTTCGGCATGTTCCCCGCCAACTACGTGGAACTGATCGAGTAAGGGGGGGGCGGCGGGGCCACGGCAGCTCCCGGCCCCCCGGGAGCACTCGGCTCCAGCCTGGTTCTTCCAAGCAGTGCGTGGCTTTCCTCCCTTCCTCCCTTCCTTCCTTCCTTTCTCCCTTCCTTCCTGCCTTTCTGCCTTCTCTCTGAGTGACGTGCCATGGCCCTGAGACCCCTGACCCTGGAGCCCCCATAAATGCCCCCCCGGGGGCGCTGGCAGAAGCCCCCTGGCTCCATCCCGGCGCGGAGCAGCCGCGTGCCCCGCGGGCTCCCCTCCCTTCTGGCCCCTCGTGCGGTCCGACCCCTCGCAGGGAGCCCAGAGCTGCGGCCAGCGCTCGGCTTCCCGGCCGGGGAGGAGATCAAACGAGGCCAAGGTGGGGGATTTTAGCAAAAGCTGTGAGCGAGGCCCCCCCCCCTGCGTGCCCCATTCACTGTGAACAAGGAAGAGCCCGGTCCGGCTGCCGCCTTCCTCTCAGTCGCCTCCAGCTCCTTTCCCTGGTGTTGCTTTTGGAACAGGCTGTGACGGGTTTTACCACGGGTTTTAGTGATGCCGGGGCCCTCGTGCCCCCCCCCGGGTCAATAAAAGGGCTTTTCTTTGGTGACGGCTGCACAGGACCCGGCCGTGCCCCTGCTGCTCTGCGCCACCATCGGGGTCCCCGCTCTGCGCACCCCTCGCCCCACGTCCCGTGGTTAATCCCCACCCCTGCGTGTTGAGGCTTTTCGGCGTGATTTGGGGTGAAATGGCGGTGTTTTGGCACAGGGCTGGCAGAGGGCATGGGCTAACGAGAGCCCTTCAAGAAGGGGAAGCTGAGCTGGGTGTGGGGCTCGGTGCTGGTTTTGCAATGGGTGAGGAGCTGCGGCCGCGCTGTGCCGAGCGGGTTTGTGCGCCAGGGGGTGAGGGCAGGGATAATGAGGTGGCTAATTAGTATTGCTGCTGGAGATGAGGCTAACGAGGGGAGGAGGTTTGCTCAGAAGAGCAGCCAGAGACCAAAGCTGGAGTGAGCACTGGGGGGGGGTCTGGGTGCACAGGGGACTATGGGGGCGTTTTGGGGACCTGGGGACACTGAGAGCAAGGGGGGTGCAGGGGACACGGGGACAGCAGGGTGTGGGGACAGCAGGGTGAGGGAACCTCGAGGGGGTGCCCCCGCAGCCCCTTTGCCTCCCTGTCACCTCAGCACCCATGGGTGCTGCCAGGCCCCAGGGTGCCATGGCCACTGTCACCCCCGGCTGTCCCCAGCCCCTCATCTTCCTGCCCCCCGGGCTGGCAGTGGGACACGGGGCTCAGCATCGGGCCTTTATTGCCAGGGCACGGGTGCAGAGAGGGGGTGGCACGTGAGCACGGCAGTGACGGGGCAGGGGTGGCACGGGGACGGGGAGTGGGCACGGGGCAGGGTGGAGGTGGCAGAGGTACAGCAGCAGAGCGGGTGGGGAGGGGGGTGGCAGGGGACAGGCGTGGGCACAGGGACAAAATGGGCTTGGGGACAGCAGGGGATGGGGCACGGGGGTGGCCTGGCCTTGGAAATGGCCCGGGGGGGGCAGGGGGACGTCCTGTCCCCACGGTGTCCCCCCCTCACTTCCAGTTGGTGAAGAACTGCTTGAAGAGGGGCGTCTCGCGGCCCTGCGGCAGGATCTCCACCTGCGGGACGGGGACACGGTGGGCACGGGGGAGAGGGGACGTCACCGTGGCCCCCCCCCCAACCCTCCTGTGCCCACCTGCGTGCGGGGCGAGTAGCCCATGCGGGCGATGGTCTGCTCGGCCACGCTGAGAGCCGCCTGGCGCTCCTGCTCGTTGGCTTTGCGCCCTGCGGACGGGGACGTCAGCTGGGGGGCCCCGTCCCCTGCCCTGTCCCCATCCCCGTCCCCGTCCCCAGGCACCTTTCCACACGTAGACCTTTCCCCCGGCGCCCGTGTCCAGCACGAAGCAGTCGTCGGGGCACAGCAGGCTCTGGCTGAAGGGGCTGCTCCTGGACACCTCGGTCAGGTCCATGCGCCCCGTCGCGTCCGACACCTGCGGTGGCCGGGGTGTCACCGCCGTGGTGCCACCACCAGGCCACCCCCGTGTCCCTCTGTGTGTCCCTGTGCCCCCTGCACCCCCACAGCGTGCCTTGGCCATGCCCAGCCCTGTGTCCCCCCCCTACGGGGGCCACCCCAGCCTTGCCCGGCCCCGTGGCCACCGCAGCGTGCCCCGGCTGTGCCCAGAGGTTCGTGGGGTCACCTGGAGACCTCCAAAGCTCGCCACGCTGACCTGAGCCCCGTCACTGTCCCATGTCCCCTAGTGCCACATCCACAGCTCCCAGATACCTGCAGGGATGGGGACCCCCCCACTCCCCCCGCAGCCCCTTCCAAATCTCAACCACCCCCCCGTGCAGAAATTCCTCCTGACGCCCGATCCAACCCCCCCTGGTGCCACGTGCGCCCATGCCCTCACGTCCCTCTCACTTGCCAGCAGCCCCCATCCCCTCGGGACCACCACAGCACCCCCAGCCCGTGCCCAGCCCCTTGCCTTGTAGAGGACGGCCGTCCCCGCGCTCTGTCGGCCACCGCGTCCTCCTCGGGGCTGCCCTCCTGCAAGCTGGGCTTGGGGCCCAGCACCTGTGGGGTGAAGACACGGCGTGACAGAGCCCCGGGGGGGCACCCACGTCCCCTCGCCTCCCCAAGGCACCCACCTGCAGCATCTCCGGTGGCTCCTCGCCGTCCACCACCACCTCCAGCCGGGCCTTGCCGCCCCGCTCGCCGTCCCGGATGGCCGCCGCCAGCTCCTGGGCCCGGCTGCGCTCCAGCACGTTGCAGCGAGCCCCGCACCAGGTGAAGATGGTCTGGGGACACCGAGAGGGACGGCGGTGGCAGGACTGCCCCCACCAGCCCCGGGGTCACCGTTATGCAGAGGGTGTCACCGGGTCGGGGCTGGTCCAGGGGGATGCCCAAGGGACACCCAGAGGGACGGACAGACAGCCACATGGATAACCGATGGGTGGGTGGACAGATGGACGGATGGACAGAGGAGGGGCCCCAGTGGATGCCCAGGACAGAGGAACAACCCAGCAGACTGATGGTGAGAGGACAGACAGACAGCCCATGGAACCAGCATGGACAGAGGAATCCCGAGACGCGCAGCAGGGAGAGAGCTGATGCCCAGACAGGCAACAGCGACTGATGGTGGAGGACAGACAGACACCCCAACAGCTGGACACCCAGACGGACAGGAGGACACCCCCACAGCCATGTTCAGGACAGACAGATATGGCCACCCAGGACAGGTGGACACCCAGAAGAACAACCAGACGGAAACCTACGGACACGTGGACACCTGGAGGGTCAGACAGACACCCCTAGGGAGAGACAGACACACCTACAGACAGACAGACACCCAGAAGGACAGGTGGACAACCCAACACTCTGCTATGGATGGAGAGACGCCCCGAGGGGCTGATGGCCCCCCACGGCCATACGGACACCCAGACGGACACAGGGCACTGGCACCAAGCAGGAAGGGTCTGGGGGCCGGGGCCGGGGTCACCCACCTCACCCAGGTCGAGGACGAAGCAGTCGCCGGTGTTGAAGCTGGCCCAGCTCAGGTCCCGCTCGGTCGCCCGAATTTTCTTCCTGCCCTTCACCTGGTAGAGCCGGCGCACGGGGCCAGGGCCAGCGCTGGGGCGCACGGACCTGAAGGCCGAATCCACGCCACCCTCCTGCAGGCACAGGGTGCTGAGCGCCCAGCGGGGACACCGACCCCTAGGGAGGGGTGGCCAGCACCCGTGGGGGGGTGCCGAGCACCTAGGAGGGGTGCTGAGCACCCAGCACGGAGACTGGGCATCCGGAAAGGATGCTGAGCCGCCGTGGTAGGGATGCTGAGGGCTTCAGGGGAGGTTCTGAGCACCCAGGGGTGATGCTGAGCACTGCGGGTGGGCAGCACCCAGCAGGGACGCCACGTGCTTGGTGGGGAGCGAAAGGGGTGGGGGGAACACTGGGGGCATCCTGCGCACCCACCACGGATGCGCAGCACCCGTTTGGGAAGCCCAAACACCCACGGAGTTGCCCAAGCACCCATATGGGATGCCCAGCACCCACTGGGGACCCAGCACCCCCCTGGCACCCTCGGTGTCCCGAGGCCCCGTACCTGGTAGGTGACCCGCGGGGGAAGTACTCCATGAACTCGTCGGATTCGTTGCCCTGCACCTCGCGGTGGGTGACCGGGCGCTCGCCCAGCGCCGCGTTCAGCTGGGTGCAGAGGAGGGCGCAGGCGCCCTGCTCGTCCTGCGACGCCTCCCGGCCTGCGGCGAGGAACAGGGGGGGGGCTCAGCGGGACCCCCCCACGTCGTGTCCCCCCCTTACCCCGTGCTCACCGATCCAGAGGTGCAGGTGGGCTTGCTCCTCGGGCCCCAGGTGCAGCACCAGGTAGGCGTCCCCCGAAAAAAAGGTGCCCAGGACGCCTCCGGCACCGGCACCGGGCGCAGCTTCTCCACCCGCCAGATGTGCAGCCCCGGGCGGGTGGGCACGGGGCCGAAGGGGGAGCCGCTATGGGGAAAGGGGGGGGGCGTCAGAGGGGGTTTGGGGAGGGGAGAGGGATTTTTTGGGGGGGAGGTTGGTACCTTTTGGGGAGCGCCGTGTACATGGTGGCGGGGAGAGCGGCGGGCTGAGAGCGGGTGGTCCTGTGGGGAGAGGGGACGTGGTGATGGACAGACGGACAGCCGGGAGGACAGACGACGACAGCTGGCAGGAGGGGTGGGCACCCCACGGGGAGGTGGGCGCCCCGACGGACAGACGGACACCCCCGTGAGGACAGACAGACAGACAGACAGCCCGACGGACAGACTGCGCCTCGACGCACAGCCGGACAGACGGACAGGTGGGGAAGGCGGACGCACCCCGACGGACGGACGGACACCTGGGGGGGACAGACAGACAGACACCCCAGCAGCCAGAAGCCCCGCGGGGCAGGGAGCCCCCGGGGGCGGGACGGACAGACGGACGGGTAGATGGACAGACAGACGACAGACAGACGGACGACGGACGGACGGACATCCCCACGGGCAACACCCCTGCCTGCGGGCACCCCAAAAGACACCGCCCCCCCCCCTCCCCTTCCCGGACAGACGACGGACGACAGACGGACCCCACCCCCCCGACAAGTGGACACCTGGACGGACGGACAGCTGCCCCGACGGACAGACGGACACCCCCCGGACACCCCCCGAGCCGTGGGACACGCGGAAGTCGGGGCCGGGTGGCGCTGACTCAGGCGGCAGGAAAGGGTGGGGACGGCGGGGGGGGGCCGGGCCTGTCCCCGCGTGTCCCCCCCCCCGGGGCCCTGCTCATGCCCTGGAGCCCCGACGGGGGGGTCGCTGTCACCCGTTGTCCCCAGGGGGGTCCCGGCCCCCTGCTCCTCTTGGGGCTGGTCTGGGGGGGCTGGACTGGGAAGGGGGGGGATGCGCTGGGAGGGGCTGAACTGGGAGGGGCTGTACTGGGAACGGGGGGTGTACTGGGAGGGGCTGTACTGGGATGACTGGAGGGGTGTACTGGGATGGGGGGTGTACTGGGAGGGGCTGTACTGGGAAGGGGGGGTGTACTGGGAGGGGCTGTACTGGGAACTGAGAGGTGTACCTGAGGGGTGGCACTAGGGGTTGTACTGGGGGAACTGTACTGGGAGGGAATGTACTGGGGGGGGGCTGTACTGGGAGCTGCACAGGGGGCTGCACTGGGGGAGCTGTACTGGGAACTGGGAGGCTATACTGGGAGCTGCACAGGGGCTGTACTGGAAACTGGGGGAGTATAATGGGAGCTGTACTGGGGGTGCACTGCATGGGGGCTGCAACAGGAGGGCTATATTGGGGGGGGTCTACATGGGGGGGCGTACTGGGAGCTGCACGGCACGGGGAGCTTAATGTGGAGGGGTGCTGCACCGGAGTGCAGTGGGAGGCACTGGGCGGCACTGGGAGGCACTGGAGGCACTGGGCGGCACTGGGCAGCACTGGTTGCCGCAGGGCAGCCCCCCCCCCAGCAGCCGCCCCCGCCGCAGCGTGTCTGGTCGGTGACTCACGGCCGGGCCGGGGGCCACACGTGTGCCGAGCGCGGGGCTCAGCACGGCCACGTGGCCCAGCCCGGTCACCGTGGGGCCCGGGGAGCCTGCGGGATCCTGCCGGGGCCTGGCGCGATGCTGGGCCGGTAGGAACGGGGCACGCGGTGCCGTGAGGCCTGTCCGAAGCGGCTCTGGGTGACGGGACAGCCCGGTGCCACACGCTCGGTGGCCTTGGCGTGGCCGTGCCGTGCCCGTGCGGTGCCGGTGCTGGGTCCCGTGCGTGCCGCGCTGGTTCCTGCACAGAGCTGGTGCCGAGGCAGTGCCAGGGCCAACCGGTGCTGGTGCTGCACGGTGCCAGTGACACCGGTGCCGAGGCAGGCACGGCTCCTGCGTGGTGGTAGTGCCATGCCGTGCCAACGGTGTGAGTGCCAGCTGTGGGGCCAGGAGGTGCCAATACGGTGCCGGTGCCGGTGCCGTGCGGAGCCAAAGCGTGCCGTGCCCACGCAGTGCCAGTGCCGGTGCCACGCAGTGCCAGTGCCGTGCCAATGCGGTGCCAACTCCGTGCTGGTGCTTGTGGTGCCGGTGTGGTGCCGTGCCGTGCCGTGCCGTCCCAGCGTGGTGCCGGTGCTGTTCCCGTGCCAAGGTGATGCCAACACGGTGCCGGTACCGTGCCAATGCGGTGCCAGCTCAGTGCCAACGAGGTGCCGGTGCCATTCCCGTGCCATCCCCGTGCCGTGCCAACGCGGTGCCGGTGCCGTTCCCGTGCCAAGGTGATGCCAACGCGGTGCCGGTGCCATCCCCGTGCCATCCCCGTGCCAACCGGTGCCAACGCGGTGCCGGTGCCGTTCCGTCCCCCCCCCCAACCCTCCCCAAATCCCCTCCCGGTGCCGCCCCCGCCCGCCCCCGCCCCTCCCCTGCCCTCCCCCGGTGCTCGGCGGGGCCGTGCCGGTGCTCGGCGGCGGCGGCGGCGGCGGCGATGGCGCTGTCGGGGCCGCCCCGTTCCTGCCTCCTGCTGGCGGCCGCGCTGTGCTGCCGCTGCCCGGGGCCGCCCCGGACCCCGCCGCGCCCGCGCTCACCGACGCCGAGATCCCCAGTTCACCCCCGAGCTGCGCCCCCCGCCCCTCCCCACACGGGCGGGTCCCCCACTGGGTCCCGGCGTTCCCCGGAACTCCGCAGCGCGGGGCTGAGTTTCCGGGGGGGGCTCCCTTTTCCGGTGTGTGTGTGGGGGGGACGCAGCGCGCGGCGGACCGGAAGCGCGGCGGGGCCGGGCCGGAAGCGGGGGCGGGCGGGAGGCGGTTGCCGTGGCAGCGGTGTCGGGGCCGCCATGGAGGCGCTGACGGAGCTGTACGACCAGGCGCTGCTCGGCATCCTGCAGCACGTCGGCGGCGTCGACGAGTTCCTGCGCGTCCTCTTCGGCTTCCTCTACCGAAAAACCGACTTCTACCGCCTCCTGCTGCGGCCCGGGGACCGCCTCGGCTTCCCGCCCGGCGCGGCCCAGGCCATGGCCCTGCAGGTACCGGCGGGGGCGGGGACGGGGCCTCCCGGGGGGGTCCCGAGCCCCCCATGAGGGTCCCGCGAGCACCGTGCGGCCGCAGGAGGGCCCCGGCCGTGCCCCCGGGGCTGAGCGGAGCCGTGGTGTGGCAGGGAAGGGGCAGAAGCCCCCCGGGGAAGGGGCCCGGTGCCCGCCCTGCCCCATCCCTGTCCCTGCTGCCGGGCCCAGGGGGGCAGCGAGCCGGGACCCGAGGGCTCGGAGCCCCCGGTTTGGGACGGGAGCCCCGCTGGGGGCGGGCACGGGGGTGAGCGCGGTGGGGGGGGGTGCGTGGAAAGGGCTTGGGGTGGTCCTGCAGGGCCCCAGCCCTGCCGGTGCCCTCCCGGTGACTCGCAGGGACCGGCGGCTCCTCCTGCCCCGCAGGGACCTCATCACCCCACGGGCAGGGCGGGTTCGGCTTCTCGCTGACCAGCTGCGTTTTTTCTGCCTGAGCCACCGAGTTCTGGTCCCCAATGCCGCCGTCCCCACCTGTGGCTGCTGCTGCTCCTCCACCTGCCCCGCTGGGAGCTCGGGGGGGGCTGGGGCCGCCTCGTCCCGCAGCCCCTGCCTGAACCGGGTGCGGTGGCTCTCGAGGCGGTCAGCGGCTGGGTTTGTTGGGGAGTTGGGCACCTGAGGCTCTGCAGGCGCAGGGAGCAGCGTGTGCGAGCTCTGCAGGAGGGGAGGGTTGGCAGGCAGGGCCCCGAGCACGCACCCGCTCCCTCTCTCCTTCCTCCCAGCCCCAAAACCAGAGCCTGACAGCCGGCCCCCGTTTGCCCTCTCCCAGGCGTTCAAAGTCTTCGAGCGCATGGCCCGGCAGGACGACGAGAAGAGGCACCGAGAGCTGGAGGCGAAGCTGCGGAAAAAAGAGGAGGAGGAGGAGGCCGCCGAGAGGGTGAGAGTGGCCCCGGCAGCACATGAGGTCGAGGTGGAGACCACGGTGGAGCCCGGCCCCGCGGCGGAGACGGGGGAGGCGGCGGCGGGGCCGCAGGATTCGGCCGCCCCGGCAGAGCCCAGCCCAGCGCCAGCGGAGCCCCCGGGGGCCGCTGCCCCCTGCGCAGCCCCAGCCCGCAGAGCTGCCCACGTAAGGGTCCCCGTTACGCTGCCCCTTCGTGGGGGGGAGGCACCGAGGGCCCTCTGGGGGTGAGGGTTCCCCTTGCGGGTTGTGGGGGGAGGGTGTGCGGTTATTTCCTCAAAACGTCCTCGTCCCACACCCCTTCTGCACTGTCCGAGCACCAGGAGGGGTCCCACAGGGTCCTGCTCTGCCCCTCCTTGTGCTCCCGTCCCCAGCGCCCGGCTGTGCCGCGTTCCCCTGACCTGTGGCAGGATTTCTGTCCCCGCTGCCCACACCGCGGGGCTGTGCCACAGGAGCACCGGCTGAATGTCACCCCCGTGTCCCCAGGAGCCCCCGGTGGTGGCGGGGCCGGGAGGGGAAGGGTGCTGAGTCCAACAGGAGGGAGGAGAGGGGCTCGTGCTCGGCTCAGCCGGGTGACACGGGACAGAAACAGGAAAGGGAGAGGGGGGTGGAGGGGCTCAAGCCCCCTGCGAGCGTTCCCCTGGGGCTTTACCTCGGGCCTCTCGGCGTCAGGGCTGCGGGACGGGGCTGGTGCGGAGCCTGGGGGTGCTGAGCTGCCCCCCAGCTCCCTGTCCTCGCCGTGTCCCCGCTGCCGCCCCCAGCACGCCGCTTTGGGGCCCCAAGTCGGGATATCTGCGCCCCCCCGGTGCCTCCGCGGCTCGCAGGGGGCTGGGGGAAGGCGGCGGGGCCCAAAGTGGGGCCGAGCGGCCCCGCGCAGCGCCTGTAGTTGGTTCCTGCTCCTCTGGGGGGCACTGGAGCCCCCCGAAAGGCGCCCGGCAGACTGTTAATAATTCACCCGCTCCCAGCAGAGCCTGCAGCCTGGAAATGAGGGGGGCACGGATAACGCGCAGGGCGAGCAGGAGATGCAGCAGGAATATTTGGCACCTCCCTCCCCTCCCCGCTGCCCCCCGGGGTCTGCACAAAGCCCAGCGCTCGGCCCCACATCTGCCAGCACCCATCAGAGCCCCCCCGAGCACCTCGGGATCGCAGCTCCTGCAGGGGGAGAGCAGAACCCGGCCTGCTCTGCACCAAAAAAACACCAAAAAAGGATCGGGGGGGGGTTTGGGGGCCACCCCGCTGCTCGTGGCACCACACCGGGGTGGTTTTGGGGGCTGGAGGTGCTGCTGCGAGCTGTCTGTGTGCCTCAGGCAGCAGCTCCCTGAGCCAGAGCAGGCGCCTGGCGTTTGTTTTCTCTTGGTGGATTCCTTTTTTCTCCCTGAGTTTCAGCTCTCGCGAGCCTCGGGCCTTGCTGCTGCTCCCCTCGTTGGAGCACTTCCCGGGGGCTTTTAGTCCTGCTCGGGTCGTCCTTCACCCCTCTGTGTCTCCCTCAGCAGCCCTGTCCTTCTCCCAGCCTTTGCTCACTGCTGCCTGTTGGGGTTCTCTGCTTCCCCTCCCATTTTTCCACCTCTGGGCTGCCCCGGTGGCACAGCAGGGCCGGGAAATCGCCTTTCAGCCACGTGCAGTGAGTGGCACCGGGCAAACCCTGCCCGAGCTCAGCCCTGCGGCACCTCACAGCGCCTGCAGCCTCACGATGGGGAAGGATTTCAAGCCCTGAGCCCTCTCCTGCATCAGCAGCAGCCCAGCTGGAGCACAGCACCTTTGGGAGGGGCTGAAATGCTTCAGCCTCAGCCCCAGCTCCCCCAGCCCTCGGCCGCAGCGAGCCCCCTGTGCCAGCCGGGGCCCAATTTGCCTCAATTTGCCTTAACGAGGAGCTCGAGTCCTGGGGCCGGGCTGCTGAGCTCAGCAGCTGGGTGTCAGCTCCCCTGTCACGCACTCCATCGCTCAGGGCTTTGGTTGCCCTACCAA